AAGAAGAAGAAGAAGAAGAAGAAGAAGAAGAAGAAGAAGAAGAAGAAGGAAGAAGAAGGAAGAAGAAGGAAGAAGAAGGAAGAAGAAGGAAGAAGAAGGAAGAAGAATGAAGAAGAAGGAAGAAGAAGGAAGAAGAAGGAAGAAGAAGGAAGAAGGAAGAAAGAAGAAAGAAGAAAGAAGGAGAAGAAGAAGAGGAAGAATGAGAAGAAGAACAAGCAGCAGCAGCAGCAGCGGAGGAGGGAGAAGAAGAAGCGGAAGAGGAAGAGGAAGAGGCAGAGGCAGAGGCATTATTTCAAGGCTAAAATTGCTACAATTATTTCTACAAACAATTTTTCAAATGCAATGTCTGATAAAATCAAAGAAAACCAAGCATAGATACAGTTAAGATAGTATGAATAAGGACCAGCAAAATCAACAGAACAAAAAAAGAAAGAGAATAACATGGTCTCCAAATATTGGCACTGAGCAGGTGTTAAAACAATTAGCTTACTATGTCCCAGAAAATAAAATACAGGATTAAAAATTTCAGCAGAGAGCTAAAAATATTTTTTAAAAGACATAGCAGAAATGAAAAAGAGCCAATAAAAATCCTAGAACTGAAAATATAATCACTAAGATTAAGAACACAATGGATGAATTTTTTACAGATTAGACCTCACTGAGGAGAGAGATAAAGAACTGAAAAATAAGTCAGGAGAAGATATCCACCATGACATATAAAGAGACAATGCATTGGAAAATACAGAACAGGTGATCAGAGACCTACATACAGTCTAAAATACATTTAACTGAATGCCTAGAAAAACAGTAGAGAGAGAATGGAGCAAATGAAATATATTACGAGGTAATGGCAGAGAGTCTCCCAAGCTGATATAAGACATGGATCTACAGACTGAAAATTAAATTACATGAACTTGGCAGAGAAGAGAGAGAGAAGGAGAAAAAACTTTAAGTCCAGGATGACTCTAAGAATTCTAACTTGAGCAAAAGGATGATGTGACTAACTGAGATAAGAAATAGAGAAAGAAAAACAGATTTATTGAGGTTGGGAGGAGGCAGGGTGAAATAGAAACACACATAGTAGGTTCCAATTTTTACCTGTTGAATTTAACATCCAGACATGGATAACAAATGTGCCATTATTTCTTTAATACTTATTTTTCTTGTCACATTAAGGAATTTCAAAAACTTTCATTGTTTGGAAAGAATCATCAGATCTTTCTTGTTTAAAGAACCCCACACCTACAGGCCTCCTTCCCTTCCTGCTAGAATCCATGAGTTGCACCCATGAATTGACCTACAAATGGACATTTGCAGCAAAATGTACAATGATTTGTAAATGGCATCTGTCTGGTGTTAAAATGTAATCATTTATCCATTGCAACCTACACAGAGAAAAACCCATCATAACCAAATAATATATTTTCTAGTTTTTAACACCTTGAGCCATGACTCCATTTTTTAAAAAAATACATATTATAAAGGTAAGTTATGGAAAAAATGTAGATTTTCTGCACATCACACCAACTTCAAGCAATGTGGTAAATACAACTTTGTGTCACAATATACAATACTACTACCTTAAGGATTACCATGAGTTTTTTAAATACAACTATTTGACTTAATTAACACACACACACAAAATAAAACACTGGCTATCATAAATTGCTAATTTTTTATTTCATATTTTACTTAGAAAACATTACAACTTTCACAATAAGTTCTGGGGATAATGGATAAAAATGACATAGCATGTTTTCTTTTCAACTGAAAAGTCCAAAAATGTTAGAAGATGATAATGATAATGCCAACTATTTACTTGAGCATTTTCTGCATGCTAGCAACTGTTCTATGAGGACTGCATGGATTCACTCATTAAAGAGATTTAAAAATGTCTACTAACATAAACTGTATGCTAGTGACATAAAGAATATTATTTCATGAAGAGTCACAATTTTCCCCCAAGATTATTCCATTTATAAAATACACTATAACTCAGCTAGTATAACTGGGGACCAGAAATACATGTGGGAGAAATTAGGAAAAAAAAAAAACACTTTACATTAATAAACTACAAGTAAATCTATGATCTTTTCTGTATTATATTTTTCTTCTGAAAGTAGAAATAAAATTTTCAAAACCAATGAACAGGAAAATAACTTTAATTTCAAATAACCCTTTGGATGCCAACATTAAAAATTTAAGTATATCTAAAAGTATCCATGTAATCGCCTTATGCGATCAAATGTAAATTTTTCAACACTGACTGTAGGTCTAATTGTCCCAGATGTTTTCACTCTAGTATTTCTCTGTATAACTATTACTACATTATTGTGATTTCCCTGAATATCATTCCAAATAGATTCATTATGATTACGTTTGATACAAAATCATAATTTTATATAATCTGATGAAACTTCCTAATACAATCTCCAGCAAAAAAAAGGGCTACATTTTTTTTGAAATAGAAAATTCTTTCAGGAGACTTTTACCTAAGAAAAATCATTAACCTACTTCTTAAATTATTAAATGTCTTAAATGTTGATAAGTAATTTGGGACATCATTTAGCTACATTCTTAACATTATGGAAGATTGAAACTTAATAGCCAATTTCTTGTTTACTGCTTCCAGCCATTTTGACCATCAGATTTCTAAAACTGCGGCTCTCTTTCTTAGCTTAAAAAAAAAAAAAAAAAAAAAAAACCTATTTGAATCTCCGATGTAGTCTGTGACCCCCATTACTTTGAAAACTATGGCGTCACAGAACCATCTGACTCTTCAGATAACACAGTACACTATAGGTCTTTGGATCTAGCCTCTCACACATTTGAATCCCCTCTGCTTCACCAACTGAAATGTTTCCCTTACCCGACACCTATGAAAATGGTGAATTACTCACAATTACTCCATTTTCAGTTTTCATTATTACAAATGTCTTCCCTACACTGAGTGGAAATCTTCTTCCCTAGAACTGCCACCTACTGGGGGCTTCAACAATCTCAGCACTGACCCTGGCAGATGACCTTGGCAAGTTCATATCTTGTTGCTTTAGTTTCCTTGGTGGTAAAATGGGATAAGAAATGTGTGTCATAAAGGTGCAGAGATTAAATAAGAGTGTTTATACAGCACCTGCCACAATGTGGGGTTCATTGGGAATATGAGGCCCTCCTCTGCATGGCTACCCTAGAGATGTGGTGGTAGCTATTGTTTACATTCCTTCTGCCCAAATATCCCCATTTCCTTCTATATTTCTTTGAACAACATGGTATTGTCTCCTTTTTCTTCTAGTCATTCCTTTCTGAATAAGGTCAGCTCTTTGAGAGAAGGGTCAACTGTCAATTCAAAAAATATGTATTATGAACTATTTTACCAACTGAGCACAGCTTTTTACCTATGTGTGTCATTGAAAGATAATATTTCTCTTTTCCCTGTCGCAGTGCCCCTCAGACATTAGGACGTAGCTGAGAAGTTTCTCTCTTCATTCTGGTAGAATGTTGGCTCTTCCTCATCAAGGGTCGTTCCTCTCTGTCCTTTCCATTCCTTCTTCTGGACTTCACAATTCTGGGCAGTGGCTCCATAAGACATCTTCTTTCTGGGACTCGAAAAACTCTCATGGTTGAGTTCTGTCTCCTCAGCTAATTCATCCTGGTCAATAATTCCACATTTCTCCTCAGAGAGATTCTCTGGGTCAGCCCACTCCTGTTTCTCCCCAGAAGCAAA